GGCCCAGAGAGGTTGTGGAGTCTTCTTCTCTGGAGACATTCAAAACCCTCCTGGACGCGTTCCTGTGTGACCTACGCTAGGTGGTCCTGCTCTGGCAGGGGGGTTGGATTAGATGATCTTTCGAGGTCCCTTCCAACCCCTAACATTCTGTGATTCTGTAATTCACACCTTCCAATGCATCAGTACAGCTGAGGTTCCCAAACCTGTTGTAGTGCCAGACTACAGAACAATGTTTAACTGTGTATATAAATGTCCAGTTGTTTTATATACTTACGTAAATGGGGCCTTCACTCACAAGCATGAAGGCTAAAAAGGTATCTGCTAATAAAGAATGTATCTGCTAATAAGGAAGCCTGATTAGTATATGAACACATAGAATAGCTGAGTATAAACGTGAACAGAGAAAAGGGCATGAACATTTGCATGTCTGCAGCAGTATTCATGTCATGATGTAAGTGTCGGGAAGACAGTAGCTGTTAAAAGTACTTTATAAACAGTACAACTCAGGCTGAGCAAGTACAGCCACTCCAAACCAGCCTCTACAAATCACTCATAATCATCCTTCCCTCTCCAAAGCCCATGAACTCAAAGTTTCTCTAGCTTGGTCACAGATTTTAAATTTGTAACATTAAAAATTATTAAGTTTTCAAGCTATGAAGTCTTGAAAACATACAACATTAGTCACTTTAGGAAGCAATAAACAGCATATAATTCCCTTTATATTAATTTAAATATTTTACTTAGAATTATACATTACTAGTACTGAAGTATTTATATATTAATGGACTTCAAGTGAAAAATGATTCCCTACTAATTGTTATTTCTAATGTATAATTCTAATTAAAATATTTTGGTTTTATGATGACAGCTGCATTTGTAACACAAGCAATTCCTAATCCCTAAGAACATATATTTGTTTTACTTGCATATCTCATAAGTTAAATGTCTAAGTCGTCCTTCAAACAATAAACCAGTCTTGTGTAACTTGGTCGTTAAGACTCCTATTGTGATTTTTATTTTCTTAATCCCCATTACAGAATTACTGAAAAACAATCCCTATAAGGAAAAAAAAAGCTCCTCAGACCACACATGTGGCAAAAGGAAATGAAAATAGAAAAAGTAACATTTTTCTATACAGAACAATAAATGTAATTGTAGAAGAAATATTGTGTGACTTCAGAGGAAAATTTGTTTCTTTCCCTTTTCTTTCTTCTCTTCAAGATGTTATCGGATGGTCCTGAAATCTGATATGATCCTGATATATGGTGATAAAAATGTGGACTAAGTATAATGGCATTATAATAATATAAAAAAATTGAATCAGAATCAACATTCTTTTCAACATTTAAATAGAGGAGGATACAAAAACTAAATCCGCAGTAACCAGAGAAAAATAGCAAATTCATTCCAAATATATTTTCAGAAACCTCTTACCTCTATTTCATATCCTTTTATTTCCTACATCTCCATGAGTACAAATGTACTTGGAAAGTGACACACTTAAGCTACATTGTACCACTGTAGAATAACAAGGTTCTACAGAAAATGTTCTATCACTTGTTAATCACTTTAACATTTGTGATATTCAGTAATTATTAGTTATGTAATTAGGTACCACAGTTGGAAGCACCAGATAGGAAGACAGGGGGTGCCTAAGACCTAATTTATTTATCACTCTAAGCATTAGTTCGCTTATAATGACAGAGAATTAAGCATTTAGCTCAATTAGACTCTCTTTTCGGAAAAAAAAAAAAAAAAAAAAAAAAGACCTCTGTGAGCAGGTAATTTACTAACTTAAGGAATCTTTTACTGGTGCCTCCAATCAGAAATAAACACAACAGATTTGCTTCAGGAACAAATACATCCACTTGTTTCTTTTCTTTCTATAATGCAGCTGTGCATCATGTGAATACTGCATCTGTAATTACCCCAGAACAGATGGCAAAGGTTTAGTTTAAAGTGTATACATTACCACAGCATATGCTGCCAAGTGAATTCTGTCTAACAAGGGACTTTTCTCTCCAGCAGTCTGATCCAACAGTTCATACACAAAGCTCCCTACGAGATTTTTTGTCCGCAGGGAATGAAAGATTGGATTTACAGTTTCAGCAATTTTTTTTCCAAATGAAATATGTTAGAAGATAATAGGCCAGATTTTCTTTCCAATATCAAGGAACTGCCTGAGTTTAAGTTTAAGTGCAATAAAAATCAAAGTTCTAAGTGGCTAAATGATACACTTATAATTTCAGTGCTCTTCTGTTTCTTGGGTAAATCATGACCGAACTCCTTCGCTCAGGTTACTGTAGATTTGGCCACTGTTTGCAGAACATATTCCAAAAATCAGATTCCTGTAAAAATAAATACATCATCTAAAAGGTAAAAAGAAAATGTAGGTAGATAAAAACAAAAATTACCAGGAGTTTGTTTTCTTTGATAACACACAGTAGTTTTGTCCATTGCCCAAATCGTTTCTTTCTAAGGAGGAAGGCACAGATTTTGGCATCCTTCACCAGATCCATAGAGGCCTCCTCGGAAGGCCACTGATGTCTCATTTTCTTCCCCTTTCCATCCTCCTCCTCTTCATCGTAGGATTCATAAGAGCTGCTCATAGCATCTGAGTCATAATCTTTAAGAAAAGCGTAAAAGTGTCAAGTTAAAACATTTAGCCATGAAGCATACTGACATAACTGAAAATCTCACTAGGGTCTGTTTTAAGCTAAGGCTTTTGAAAGTCAGCTGTGAACAAATTACTGTTTCAGTGCTTAGTAGTATCGATACATTTTGTTAATTGAATAAGAGATGCTGTTCTGTTATGAAACTTTATAAAGGACCCATACTGACACCTTGGGAATTTTAATTCAAAGAATAAGCTGGGAATACCTAGCTAGAATTTTAGGTAGTGTTTTATTATCCTCAAGATATTATTTTGCAGATACCTTCATCTTTTCTAATGCTTTTACAGAGAAACATCTTCATGTTGTCCTATTGCATAACGCAAAATGTAGGCACACAGCTGTCAATATTAATACAGCATATCAAGAAACAAACACTGAATATGACAAAGGTCACGAGTACATTATGGGGCACTACCTATGTAACATAACATTCCACATAATTCTCAAATACAGCACCTGCACTGATACAAGTAATGTTGAATACATAATGCTGTTCCTTGAACTACAGCTTCTGCTGGAGTTAAAGGCACTCTGCAAAAAAATGTTCTGTTATGTGCTTAGCTTAATGCTCCAAGTTTCGTGATGGAATGGCAAGATTCCTTTTTAATTAAACAACCTTTATTCAGGCCTTTCATTTTCAACAAGCAGGCAGCTCTACCAGTCTCATTATCACAGAACCCTCTCTTCCACCATCCAAATTTATTTCTTTATATGGAGATAGATATAAGACTCTTCAGATAGTAACACTTGAAGGTATGCCTGTTATCCACTGGCACATAGTCCCTTGGAGGAGAATTGATTGGAATATTTTTAACAGCTGAAACTTTAAACATTTCAAGGAGACTTTGATATATTTTTAGGCTAGGAGGTGGAAGAAAACCTCTCATTTGCTTTAGCCAGATATTGAGGACACAGTTGGGATGTGGGAAGGAGACCTGTGACAATTGGGAAGAGGACAAGAGAGGGGATTGCTGGAAAGCTCATTCTACATCAGCTCCTCCCTATGTGGATAGTCAGAATGAGATATACACAGACCTCACATCTTTGAATCAAGATGAGATATCCTGATCTGATTTGTGTTTTCACAAAAATGTACAAAAAGGTGTATCTTCATTCTGAAGTAAAATGAAAATAAAATTGAAACTATGGATTTTTTTCATTTTAATTGAATTTCTGTCTTCTGGTCAATTCTGCTACAGGGTATTTGGTTTGGCGCAGCTTCACATAGGCAAGTGGTAAAAGCCTCAGATAATTATCAACGGGAAAACACTACAATTTTTTACTTGCTTTACAAAATCAAGAGGAAGATTGAAAAATTTAGGATGTATATTTAAACTGACAGATTTGGAAACATTTATTCCAGAGTGTTTATTTTTGCATATTTGTTTAAAAGCATGTGTAAGACCTGATAGGACTTCCTGCTTCATCCATCTCTTCCTCCTTCCTCCCCATGAAGCAGAAAAAAAGCCTAAAAAAAAATCCCACCAAAACCAGAACCAAACCAAGACATTCTTCCCCCTGACCTCCTTCTGGAGTGGATATCCACAAAGTTTACACAGAAACATCAGGAAATGCTTGAGAGATCATCGACCAGTCTCAAGCACACAGTAGCATGCCAGCCTGTTTGAAGCAGAGGCAGAATGATTCACCTGGTGTTCCCTACTATGAAAATGGAAGGTCTAGTCATTAAATCAGCATCTTCAAGAAGGCCTTCTCCCAAAGACACGGGCTGAGGGACAAGGTGCCATAATCTAAAGCCCTGTGAACTTCATCTTTAACTCCTGCCTTTCCCTTTTCAAAAAAGTAATACTTAGGTGCCTGTAACCTCTTCATCCCACCTTCGAATTTAGTAGCAATCTTTGTTGCAGCTACGCCACTGTCACAATGTTCACCTTGATGCTTGCTCCCCTTCTACAACACTCTTACCTCATTTGTGATTTTTTTCTAGTTTTGGCAATAATATTGTTCTGAAGCTTAATTTTTTTTGAGGTAAGAATCAAAAGTAAGGAGTCACTACTCAATATACTGAGATATGGAAATATTATTCCGGTAGCATTTTTCTGTTTACTAGTGAGAATTTTCCCTTTGAAATTAAGAAACCACCTTTTCAGTGTAAGAGTGTCTGGGGGTTAATTTTCATCAGATCAACTTGAAACATGATCGTACAAGAGGGACACTCTTCATAGTCTTCCCAAGAGAGTGGAGCTGGGTAATTTTTCTACACTCTGAGTATACACTGAAGAAAGGATATTTGCACGAAAGAGTCAAAAGACTTTTCTATCAGAGGATGTTCTATGAAATATGTCTTCCCCATCTAGATTTTTAAGTGCAACAATCAAAAAGATAAAAAACCCTGAATCTATTTTAGTATATTGTTTTTCCTTTAGGACATGATTTAATTTTTTCATATTGCAGAAAAGAAGGTTTCACCTTGGATAAAATTATTGGTCATATCTTTACCATATATCAAAAAGATGGTTTTCTTCTTACCATAAACCCCATGCAATAATCTTGCCTTCTTTTCAGCGAAGTTACCAGGTTAAATAACTGCTTTTTCCTCACAACGTTGAACATTATAATTTTTTTTCTCACAGCAAGTTTTACCAGTTTCTAAAAAATTAATTGTAGGAAGTGCTGATTGAGACTTCAAAGCAGAGATTGAAATTCTGCACATTAAATATCCTACAGGTACTTCCTATGTGGCTCACAAGCAGTCCAAGTGCAGATTTCATGTTAGCCACAGGTTGTACGATTGGCAAAGGGACTCTGCTGGCACAGTAGTTGCAGGTTCATCCAAATATCTGTTTATAGAAGGATGAAATCCAATAGGAGCTTCTGAGGCTCCCATCCTCACACAATCTAACAGGACCTCTGGGGACCTGTTGCTCTACCCTGCCCATTAACGACCGCTCATGTTTCTCTTCTCCTTGGTTTCTGGGACTTGTGGCCAGAAGAGTTTGCTGTGTGACTCACACCAGGAAGGATGACCACCTTGGAGTACTCATGTTATCTGGGCTGAAACTTTGCTGCTCTTTGCCACATCCCGCTTCTATTCTTTGTTTCTCCAAACTGCTGAATCACATCCAAAAAAAAAGACTTCCAGGCTCTGAGACACAAACTAGCATGTGTAGAAAAAGAGAAAAATGTCTCTTCAAAATAATGTGGTTTTATTAAGACTACTATAGTCTCAGAGACTTAGGATGCACTGACACAACATGTTTCGATGCTGCTAATCCACCTTTTTTTTTTGCATCTTCTGTATTTTCTGATTATTCTAGCTTCTTTAGACATTGGCTTTTCACCCTTATCTTCACCAAAATTTTCCACTGTTAAAGGGTGAAAATCACAGTGGACTTTCACAAAAATTGTAACAGCATATACCAAAGATTAGTCTGTAATAATATAGGCTATTGTACAGATCAGTAGCTTTTAATAAAGAGAAAGTTGTCAGTCAAGGCATATACAGTTCTCATCTACATGCAAGTGTGTGTTTACAAACAGATTACAGGGACTTGGGGAAGTTACGGCTATTTCATTTTCATGACCTATATTCTGCAATTTTCTTCAGTTACTGTTTGCCTTTGCAGGTAGGACACATGGTATGTAAGCCTCTTTGCTATTAATGACATTACAAAAACATTCCATAGGAATATTTACTTAAGATAACGATATCTATCCTAACAGTTGTTTAACAGTTTATTCTTCCACTTTTTATACTTTTAGCACTTCTTTGTTATGGTCTTCTCCACCTCAAACAATCTGAACAGCTAGGGTTACATCTTTGGTTAATACACTGCTTCAGTGGCTTATTTTAGTTACCACTCAAATCAAAACTCAAGTTCTGCTTGAGCAGAGATATATTACTAATGGCATATTGAATTTAAAAGCAACTTTATTACTGATGAAGAGGGGAATACTATTAGAGCAAATTAAAAGACATGATAAGGAGTTCAGGATGTAAGAAAATACACAAAATCACAGCAAGACGATAAGTTACATTAACAGAGCTTTAAATGTCTGGGTATAAATACTTAATTTATGGAATTATTAATGAACTTTTAAGGCTGATATCCTAAATATTTTTATGGATTTGGATGGTTAAGTACAATAAGAAATCAGTTTCATATTTTGTCATCTTTTCCCCTAGGCAATCCTTTAGCAGTGCTATTAATATTTGTACTATTAATATTTTTCTGCCTAAGCATGGCTCTTGTTTAATGACAAAACACAAACCAGCCGTTCCCCAGATTACAGGGTGTAACAGGACCACCCTGCAGCATTTCAAGGGAGGAAATGAAGAGAGGAGTGATTCTGCTATGATTGTATGTTCCTTCATTTACTTTACAGTATATGAAACTATTTCTTACCTTGAATTTCTTAGTTAAATTAAGAGCTGCCAGATAACCTCAGTTTGTGCAGTGTACAAATGAATAATTAATGTTCTAAGGTGACTCCTATGCATGTTTTAAGAACAGAGAGATCATTTTATTCATTTGTTCTGGTTCAAATAATAAAAATGGCTATAAAATGGGGGAAGATACGCCTTTAATCTTCGGGCCATAGAAAATAATAATTAGTGATAAATCAGCCTTACACAAGTAATAAATTACCCCCGCCAATAAAAAAGCAGCAAAAAGGAAAAGCTTTGCAATTTTTTGGTACATAATGTCCTGTTGACTGACCCTGTGTAAACGCTCACAGCAGTCACTTCAGCGTTCCATCAGCATGCTCTCAGCATAGCTCCACTTAAGTGCACTGGTCTTTGGGTAAGTATTTGGATGTGAGAAAGTGCGTTTGTGTGTTGCAGAAGGACATTCTGGTGGTCAGTTCAGAGGCAGCCCTCCGCCTCTGCACTAAACAAGTAGTCACCAAAATAGTCACGTGCATCAAACACTGCTTGTGGGAGCCAGTATGACTAATTTATCACTTTCCACAAACATCTCATCAGAAATGCTGCAAATCACATCTTTTCAATAATTCCGTTTTTCTTCTTATTTGTCTACTTCAGCAAGTAACTCAGTGAAACAGAGGCATACCAGTAGATCTGCAGATCAGCACCAGTTTCTGAGCCCTCTACATTTACAGCATCGCCAGTGAACAATACTTAACTCTGGACTCCTAGTCCAATGCACCCCCCGCCCCTTTCATGGTTCAAAGCTGTCCAAAAGACCAGCGGCTGATTTGGACCCTATGTCTCCAATAGCAGCCGAAACACCTTTATGTGCAGCTAACTTGAGCTCCAGGTTTAGTTTCCTCTAACAGAAGCCTGCTTTGTGCACACCAAAACAGTTCTGCAAACCAAACCAAGGCATGGCCAGTGACAATAACCAGAACCGGCTCCGAATGGTCAAAGCCATGTTTATGACACATCACCACAGCACTAACAGAGAAGTAGCTGTCAAATACTAAAAAAGTTGAAGGACACTGGAATGACCAATTGTTTAGAAACTGATCTGGAAATATATTACTCACTGGAAGTGATATATTCGGGAGCCTTCCCAGGACTAAGCGGCACTGCCTCTTCGTAATAGCCTTCAGGAAGGGAAGAGGTCGGTAATGGTGGAGGCCCATTATCTGGTGGCTAAATGAAGAAACAAAGAAAAAGTAATTACAGAGCAACAAGGTGTTAAATTAAACACGGTCAGAACATCTGCTTATGATCAGTGCTAATGTTACCAGCCTTATAAACCCAATGGCTGCTCTTGTGACTATTTCTTAATGTTAATTGTCTCTGAAGGCGAGGCTCTGGAGGGGTGAATTAGATGTTGTCCTTTGAATAAGGCCTGTTCTGAAAGGTAGCATCATTTAGAAGGATAACAAGCCTAAATCTCAAGTTCCTCATATGTTGTTATAATCAAACATTAAGTAGAGTTTGAGATTTGAAGCAATTGTTTGATGCACAATTATGCTTCATAACATAATGATACATTTTTAAATATATCATTATTTTCAAGACCTTTACCACCACTCATGATAAGGAAGCAGAACCTTCTCGCATGTCCTCCAACTGAGTCCTTTGGAGATATAAACACAGTAGGATCCTACTTGCCATTGTTAAGGATGGCAAAATCAAGATAACACCTACATTGAAAGAAGTTCTTTGTACAACAGCATTAAGTGGTAAGAATGTTGAAAAGATACAGTTTTCTATTTAAGAACTAGAAATCTAAAGTGCGTAATGTAGGAAAGAGATTTCTGTGTATAGACCATTTTACAGTCCTAAGGCTTTTTTATTATTATTTTATACCTAAACCAATTCATATTACAGCAGCAAACAACAGTTTGTTTGAACAGTCTGGAAAAGCTAAATAGCCTGGGCTGGCAGAGATGAAGGACAGATAATTTAGACCATATTTTCATGATGCATTTTGTTTTTCAATGGCAAATCAATTCTTAATATAGACATTAATTTTTAAAATGCTATTTCTACATAGTGAAAACTGAGCTACAACTAATGAAAAGTCTGGAACATCAAGACACTATTATATGATAAAATAAATATTTCAAATACCAGATCAAATTCTAAAATGCTTCTTTTCTAAATATAAACCTGTTTTAAATTTAAAACTGACTGACTGCTCGTATGTTGATACAGTAACAAAGTAACTTTAGTACTCTCTGACTTCTTCCATACGACTTTACTGCTTTCCTTAACAAGTACCAAAACAACTATATCTTATAGACCTCATTCATATTTGCCACAGGTTTTTAGTTCCATGTTTTCATACTAGAGAAAATACTGAAGTCTTTTTCCAACACTGATGGTTTATTGTATGACTACAAAAATATAACTTGTAAGCAGAGTGTCATTTCTGCAGTAACATTTTTTAAATACATCTTTTTCTTTTTTCGTGTAATGAAAGAGATGTAACAGTGTTTGTCTGCATTGGACTGATCCAGTCTAAACTTGGGGAATGAACAGAGATGCTGAAGTAAAAAACTAGTCAGGGTGGGCTTCGCTGATGGTCAGACACAGACACTTCTGGACTGCAACTCAGGTCGGGTGAACACTCTAGCAGAGGCATAGAGCCTTCTTCCACACAATATACATGAAGCCACAGTGACTACTCCCCTTTTGCTATAGACCTAAAGTTGCGCAGGAAGAATCTGAGCTTTAATAACACGTAGCATTAGCTATGATGAAATTACTTCTGTGGTTGCTTTCAGGGCTGGATTAATCTTTGCATATTCCAAAGCTAGACATCTTCAAATCTCATTACTGATTACACACCTATGCCAGACACCTAATTCTTAACAACATCAGCAAGACGAGTCCCACCCTTAGTGTGCTCTGTAGTTAAATTCATATTGAGTAGGTTATTCCACCTTGCAGGTAAGTGCTTGTGTATTCCCAATGTGCAGGAAGGCAAGGAGCTAGTGACTAAACCTGCCCTTCAGCTCATCCAGCACTGACTTCCCTTTGTCCACCAAGTAAAATCAGAAACTTCCTCATGAACAATGAACCAATTTGAGACTGAACTCAGAAATTCTTGACCAGATTGACATTTACACTAATATTAGTCCTGTATCAAACGATATAGCCAATTTCATATGTCACACTCAGTTACAGATAAGAGATCGCAATTACTGTTATCTACAATGAGAACCAAATGAATTTTCCTCACACATCAGTTTTCCTAGAGAAATCAGCTGTTAGAGCAGCAAAATAATGAAAATATAGGACTTTTAGCATAGTATCCCTGTAATTCTGCCGAAAAAACCCCTAAATTGCAAATCTGCACGATACATGAGTCTTTCAAGGTTAGCTGCTGCTGTGCAACAGGCATAAGGGATATTAAAAAATACTACATGTTCATTAACATTGTAAAATTGACAGCAATTATTAATTTTGCCCTACAAACCTGCATACATCAGCTCTGTGTGGCCTGCACTGCCAGACACAATAGGTGGAACTGTCTCCAAAGAGTTTGTATTTTCTCCCTTCATGCTCAAGAGAGTCAGGGTCCAGGTTTGTTCCTGGGGCAGTGTAGATTATACCACGCCTCTCCTTAGACAGATATAGCAATATCTTGGTCTAGCTTTAAACTTTTTTTCCCGTCAGGTGTATATACAATATATGAAATTCCTATCATTATTAAACCTAATTCACCCAGGAAATACCTGTCCCAAGAGTCATTCCAATTTTGACTTGACACAGCATTGAGGTTTCAAAGCTATCTTTTATTCAGAAACAAATAAGAGGTTTCAATAAAGATCAGGGGCGGGGGGGAGGGGGGGGGGAAACCTTGTTTTTAGACAAAATGTTATTCAGAAAGAAAGAAAAAAGGAAATGAAACACAAATGGTGCTTGTCTGAATTCGACCCTGCTGGAGCACCAGTTACTTCATACAGCTGGGGCGGGCTGGTCTGTGCAGCCAACGTCAACACAGATGGAATCCATTGCTGAATTAACCAGGCCCTCCTCTCTGAAATGCTTTTTGCAGTTCTTGCCATAACAAAGTTGAAAACAATTACAAAAAAGATTTTTTTGCAATTAAAAAAAAATATTAGGAGAAACATCTAAGATCAAACACCTTCTGATTAAAGCAAGGCTGCTTTAATATTGAAAGAACTTCCAAATGATTAAATACAAAGTAAAAATATCTCACTCAAATCTGCACCATAAACAACAACATCTTTTGAGATCTATGGAATAAAAGAGTTTGAGAAATGTAAAAAGCACATCTGAGCATTCTGGTATTTCTTACTAATATCTACAGTGCTAGTTGTATTGTTTAATTCTTTAAACTTTTTAGTGGAAGAATTCTGATGAAGTTATGAGTTATGAACTAAAATAGTTCTTGATTCAATAACTTGTCATTAGTTTACCTGAAAAATAAAAAAGCCATAAAACCCGCAAAACTATTTACATATTCTATAAAAGGATTAAATCTCAAAAAAATCCTAGAGAACATGTGCAGTTTGAGTGGTATCACGAGGAAAGATCTGGCAACCTGCGAAGAAGGCATTAGCATGAATTTCTACTTCCCTTTTTTTTTTTTTTAATGACAGGCAGCAGGGAAGAAAATCAGAGAATGCCGCCTTTCAAGACAAATAATCTTGCTCAAACACAGGAAGAAGAATTGAGTTTAAAAAAAAAAATTACAATTACTTTTGTCTCATTGAGGAAAAGAGACAAAGATGGGTGACATATTATTGCCCAGAATAATACCAGTAATACTGAAACAATACTGATCAAGATGTTTGTCAGGTGCTGGGTCTGAGACCAAATGAGAGATGCTTTATTTGAAATCAAGAAGTAGATGGGGTGATATTTACTCTACAGAGTTGGGATGTCTGAAGACATTAAAAGCTGGATTGTGCGCGTGATGCCCAATTCCACTTTACAGGAGGGATTATTGAGAGAAAGAAACAAGTATCTCCAAATAATAAACAATATTTTCCTGAACAATAAAATTCATTATTTTACTGGACACTATGAAACAGACTTAGGGAAATATCAATTTTATGGTATGTTATAGTCTTCCCCTCCATCTGCCCCTCAGTCTTCCACAGACCACAAATAATCTCTTTCTTTCTTTATCCTAGGAGATAAATTACTTTATTTCCCTCTTCTGTCCAAGGGTACCTAGCAAGACAGGCAGTAATTTTTTTTTTTAGGGATAGCCTAGCTGATATCTGCTGACGATATGGAATTATATAGTATGGAAAGCAGTATGAAAGACAGAGGAAAATAAATGTCATCATATAGGGACCTGAGGATATAAAATCACTTTACACCCCAATGAAGACTTTCACTCTGTAGGAAATAGAAAGAAACACCTCCCTTTATGCAATGATTTAGGATGTAGAGATTTCCAGTGCAAAGCAGTGCCTTTAGCAGACTGTCAGTATCCCCGTGCTGCAGGCAAAGGCTGCCAGTAATTCAAGGGCCATGCTTGCATGTGTGTTATTAGATCAACCACCAATTCGGATCCAGCCAGAGTGCGGAGCCAGCTGCTACGTAACCCCTCAACACTGAAAGCAGCAACATGAGACTGGAAAAGTGGTCACACACTGGTGATGTATAATAAAGCTATTCAGAAGCCAGCAGGCAAATGTGGGCTGTCAAGAAGAAACCTTGACACGTGCACATGCCATTTGCTTTGGAGCACACTTAGACCTGACCTCTGTACAACCCCATCGCATCCTCAGCCTGGAGGTGGAAAAGTGCTCACACATTTATGATCCCTCTCCCCACATGTTAGAAAATGGATGTCCAGAAAGCAAGGCGAATAAACAAACTGAGTATCAATACAATTGGCAAAATTACTGACTGTACATTTCAACCAAACTTTGTCACATCACTGTAAAGGCTGGAAATTGGACATTAGTACTCGCCATGCACTTGGTATGAAAGCCTTTAGATAAACTCAGAATCATTAGTGCACTAAAGAGAAATCACAGTTTATTGCCAGCAGTTGAGGACCTGGATGTACCTTGGATTTATTCAGGACAAAAGCGCTGCCTATATGGGATGTTAAGAACATACTGAGCTGTGCAGGAGGGAAATACTAGCCTAGGTGTAGACAAGTAGAAGCTGAGAAGAATTCTTCATTTGACCTCAGCTCTGTATTCTAA